TACACACACACACACACACACACACACACACGCACACACACACACACACAAACAAACAAACAGTCATACTTCATACATCTTACACGCTCACACATTCACACACTCCCACTTCTGCGTGTACAAATTTTAATACGCTCGTACTCGCTGTTCTTTAGCTTCGCTCTATCTTTAATGTTTCATCAACCTCAGGTCTCGTCATGAAGGCCCTGTTAACTCCCATGTGCCTGAACAACGGCGCCGGAACCACTGGTCCTCTAATAAGCCTGACCTTCAGCAGGCTCCGGTCAGTGTCCCCTCAGTGCAGCCCACACGGTTCCTCGCCTGAAGCAGCCAGGGTTCGAAGCTTCGATGAGATTCCGGGTCCAAAAGGACCTGCTCGATGGCCAGTGATAGGGCCTGCTTTTTTGTTTAAGCCTTTCAGTAAGTTATCAACACTTGTAGACTGAGGGAGGACGGGTTTCATATCTGGGTCAATGAATTGATCATCTTCCTTTTTAACCATTTCCAATTTTGTCTCAGAAATGCAATTACATGTATTCATTTTTCATAAGTTTGTGAGTTCACCGTTATGAGCAGGAATCGGACTTTGCTTCTTTAAAAAACCCTAAACAAACCCAAAAAGCTTATTCTGTTCTTGTTTGGCAACCTTTAGGCAATGTCAATAGATTAACAGAATTATGTACTTCTGTCCAAAGTTTAGATTGCTGATATTTTCTTTTCACTGTTTCTATCTCCCTCTGATTCTTTCCCCTTTGTGTTTTTCCAGCCGTCACTGGGTTTTCAACTTGTTCGCATTAAAAAAAAATCAAACAAAGCAAAAGGCAACATGGACCCCGTAGTGTTTTTCATAATAAATGCATTTGTTTTCAAAATTGGTTAGGTAACTACATGCAATTAGATGAGAGAAACAAATTCAGGTCTCGGAGAGCAAAGCTGGGGTCAATAGTCTCCCTTGTGGTAGAACCGTAGAAACACTTCATCATGTAGTTGGCTAATGAACAAATTTTAAATCTTTGTACATATCAACCGTTTTGTTACGTATAATTTGAGAACCAAAAAGAGAAGGAAAAACGACAACAGCCCATTAAAAGGTTACATTCCTCCAATCCCCCCGCTCCTGCCTCCCCAAATTACTCTTTATACCCCCACGTACCCCCGACAAAGTAAAAAAAACCGCAACCCAACAAAACAACGACACAACACAACAACACAACGACAACAACAACAACAACAGCAGCAACAACAACAGCAGCAACAGCAATAACTAAAACAGAAACAACAACTACAACTACTCGTACATACCCATACAAAAAAGCATATTAAACTCAAAAAACAACAACAACCAAACTCCTCAAGAACTACAAAATGCGAAAAAGCAAACAACTCTCCCAACCCCTTTTTAAAAAACAACAAAAATAACAAAACCAAAGCCAAACAACAAACATCACCCCCAAAACAAAACAACAAAAAACTAATCTTCCTTAAAAAAAACACCCCCCCGAAAAAACAAAAACAAAAACAACAACAGCAAAAGACAACGCCCCTCCAACAAAATCCAGTGCACATATAACAACACAGAACAAAATAACAACCCTGAAAGGGAACTATAGATTGTCAATGGGAAGCATTAACTCATGAACGCCGCTTCTATCCCAGCGTCCGTCCCGCCGACAAGGCCTGATCTGATGACCAAAGAGCTACACCAGAAATACGGGGACATCGTGCGTATCCGACTCCCGTTTGGACACACCGTGCTGGTAAAGGACCCCGCTGACATGCTCATGGTGTTCCAAAATGAAGGGAGATATCCCAGCAGGCCCAATTTTGACGTGGTCAACACATATTTCAAATCCAGGAACATGAAGACTTTGTCAACCGCGTAAGCGAATTTATTTAATCTCTTTGTTTGTTTTGTTTGAGTAAAGAGAAGCTCATCGACACAATAATTGTCATGTAGAGCTGGGAAAAGCAAGATAGATCTAGACAGACAGAGAGTATTGTCTTTATTTTTTGTTCTTTTTCAGAAAGTTGCCGCTCAATATCAACGTATTTTACATCCATTTCACAAGCTTGCTCAAGTTTATTTATTGGACATTTTTTTGACATAAAGCGTTGCTACATTCAGCACAATTATAAGTGACTTGAGAGGCAGACTTCAGAATCAAGCGATTACATTGGGATTAAACTGGTCGGAGAGCCTTCAATACATCCTCCCCGAAAATTTGGATACATTTCTCATTTGTCTAAATATAACATAAAAATAAATTCCACTTTATTGACTCACTTGGGAAATTTGGGTTACCTTGTAAAAAATACTTACATGTCATTATCATCATCCAGTGCCAGATCTGCGACAGACATCGGCGATCATGATTTTCCATTCATTCCTTTGCTCGGATGCTCTCAGAAAAGCTACGTTTCCCTGGTTTTTCCCTGTTACCCATTTGTTTAGGTCCCGCTTGCCCTCAATTTTGCCAGTGAGAGCTAGATGTTCAAGACCCTTATCTCTATTCAGGTGTCCCAAAAACTGCATTTGTCGTT